TAGCTGTATATCTATGACCCTTATTCAACTTTAGAAATTCGTAATCGTAGAAATCCTAACTTGAGAAGGGATGTTCTCAAAACTATTCAGGATAGTTTGTTGCAAGTCAATGCATTTGTAGATAAATATCGCCAGGCTCATGCCATTTTACATCAATTAGACTCGGTAGGACACAATCTACCTGCTCATCTTCATTACAGTTAAACAACTGATCGACGTCGGTATAACCTACCAACTATAGATGAGATTGCAATTGTAATACCAGGTGATGGAACAGAGGTAAATGGAATGAGAGATATTATTTTACATTTCCGAGGAAATAATGAGTTGATGCAAATTAATGAATGTCACCCAGCATACTTGTCATTACATTATGTTCTATTATTTCCATATGGTGAGCTTGGAAGGGAACCTGAGTTGAAATTGTGGAATGTTCAGTATGATCGACCTTCAACTGATCGACTTACTCAAATGAATTTTTATAGTTATCGTTTGTTTGAACGACCCACAGAGTATTCAACAATTTTGAGAGGTGGGAAACTATTTCAAGAGTTTTTGGTAGATGCTTGGGCTGCAACTGAGCAAAATCGATTGACATACTACAAGCTTAATCAAGGGAAACTTCGGGCTAAGCTTTACCAAGAGTTGTCAGATATGGATCCAGATTATGTGCGACCTGGACAAATTGGTCAAAGGTTTATTTTGCCATCTTCATTTACTAGTAGTCCTAGACATATGTTTGAAATCTTTCAAGATTCAATGGCTATCACACCATACAACCAACCCCCAGATATTTTTCTTACCATGACTGCAAATCCCAATTGACCAGAAATTACTTCAGCATTATTACCATATCAAAAACCTATTGATCATCCTGATTTAATTGCCCGTGTTTCTGATAGTTGAGAGAAATGTTTGATAAAGGAGATAGAAACAAATAAATGTTTGGAAATAAAGTTGCACATGTTTTTACAACTTGAATTTCAAAAAACGAGGCCTCCTCATATGCATTGCACTTTTATTTCCTCAAGAGTCCAGAAAAATTCGGACATATGCTCAAGTAGACCAAATGGTCTGTGCCAGAATTTTCAGACCCAAAAGATGATCCTATGCTTTTGAAACTGATTCACAAATGTTGTATGGTACATGGAACCATGTGGTGCTCGAAATCCGCAAGCACCATGTTTGAAATGGTAGAGTGCACTACAGAGTATACCCTCTGAGCTTTCACAGAGAAACAACAACTATGATCAAGATAGGATACCGCCTATCGTATCGTCGCTTCGCAATAAATGTGCAGTAACATACTCGTGAGAGGGCAAGAAGTTGATAACAGGGATGTCGTACCATACAATACATATCTTTCAAAACTTTTCAACTGTCATATAAATGTGGAAGTTTGTGCTAGAATGAGATGTGTCAAGCATATACATAAGTACATTTATAAGGGTTATGATCGTACAACGATGGTGTTAGGAATGATAAATGAGATTCAATAATATCTCGATGCAAGGTATATTGAACCTCCAGAAGCTGCTTGGCGAATATTTGGTCATCCTTTGCATGTAGAAATGCCAACAGTTGTACGATTGGCACTTCATTTACCTAGAATGCATCGTGTTGTTTTTAACCCAGAAGAGTCATTACAAACGATTCAATCTAGAGCTGGTCAACAAATGTCAACTCTTAGTGGCTTCTTTGCATATTGTGCTACCAGTGAAGATGAATGTCCATTCACTTATCAAGAATTTCCACAACATTTTGTTTGGCTCAAGTCAGAAAAGAGATGAAAATCAAGAGAAAGGGGGTACGCAATTGGTAGAATGTACTTTGCTAGCCCTAATTGTGGCAAAAGATTTTATCTACGTTTGTTACTAACCGTTGTCAAAGGACCAAAGTCGTTTCAGTCTTTACGCACGGTCGATAATGTTATGCGTGATACATTTAAATTAGCATGTGTTGCAAGGGAGCTTTTAGAAGATGATGAAGAATGGATACAATGCTTGAAAGAGGCTGCAGTCATAAAAATTGGATATCAATTGAGGAGATTGTTTAGTATTATTCTCACATAGTGTTCTCTACTAAATCCATGTGCATTATGGAATCAATTTTCAACGCATATATGTGATGATCTTGCACATAAGATTTGTACATTGTTTGTCATTTCTAAACCAACTGAGGCTCAAATTGAAGATTATGGTCTCCATCTTTTGAATCAAATGCTTCATGAATCAGGCAAAAGTTTAATTGACTTCCCACCCATGCCACAACCTACTGCAAATTGGAGTGCAGTAGTTGGTAATCGATTGATAGTTGAACATCAACAACTATAGAGTAAGGCACAACATAAAGATCCACAAATTACTATTGATTGTCTCAATAATGGACAGCGGAATGCTTATAATACAATCACTTCTTTAGTTTTCCAAAATAAAAGAACTGTTTTCTTTCTGAATGGGGGTGCAGGAACAGGGAAAACATTTCTATACAATACGATTGCATTAAAATGTCGTAGCCTTGGGCATATCGTTGTTACTGTGGCTTTGTCTGGAATTGCATCACTATTACTGGTAGGAGGTCGCACTGCACATTCAACATTTTCCATTCCGTTAGATGTATTGAAAAATTCACTTTGTGGGTTTAGCAAACAATCGTTACAAGCTGAGTTATTTAGAGAAACAAAACTCATAATTTGGGATGAAGTTTCTATACAACATAGACATTGTGTTGAGGCGGTTGATCGTACATTGAGGGATATTTGTGATAGTGAAAAGCCATTTGGGGGTATTACTGTTGTTCTTGGAGGAGACTTTCTACAAATCTTACCAGTTATACCCAAAGGAGTTCGTGAGCAAATTGTGAATGCATCATTAAGATACTCTGTTCTATGGAAGCATATATATATCTTGACTTTGAATTTGAATATGCACTTGAATCATGAAGGCCATGAAAATGCTAATTTTGCAAATTTCTTGATGGAGGTAACACTACTTTAACCTGTATTATATAGATTATTTTAAATTAATAAATTGTGTTTACACTTACTTTTTTATTGATTTCACTTTTTTTTAGATTGGGACCAATCCTCAAGAAATCGTTAACCTTCCATCAATAATACACAAATGTCAAGATTTGAATGAATTACTCTCTACAGTTTATCCACAATTGAATATGATAGAGACGTCAACCCTAACATTTTTAACTGAACGCACAATTCTGTCTGCGCATAACGATGATGTCAGTGACATTAACACTACTGCGTTGAATATCTTTCCAGGGAGATTATATACTTATCTTGCAGCAGATAAAATGTCTGAAAATAATGAAATTAATCCTACCATTACAAATAGATATCCTAATGAATATTTAAATTCATTGGATCCTCCTGGGTTGCCAACTTTTAAGTTAGAGTTAAAAGTGGGTTGTCCTATAATATTATTGAGAAACATTGCACCGAAAGATGGACTATGTAATGGTACAAGATTGATGGTTACAAGGTGCGGCACTCACATAATTGAAGCTCAAATTTTAACTGGAGAAAAGTTTGGCAATTTGGCATTCATACCAAGGATATCTTTGACACCATCTTCTTCAGAAATGCCTTTCCAAATGACAAGACGTCAATTTTCAGTCCGATTGGCATATGCCTTGACCATTAATAAATCTCAAGGACAGTCTGTGAAATTTGTTGGGGTTGATTTGCGTATACCAATGTTTAGCCATGGGCAATTATATGTGGCATTGTCTAGATGTACATCCTTTGATCGTATAAGTATTTTCCTCCCTAAAAATAATTTGGATTCTACTACAAATATTGTTTATCCTGAAGTATTGCTGTAGTATTCTATGCAGATTAAATGACGTTTTTTTAGAAGGTAACCACGTCGATTTATTTCTGTTGATTATATAACTTTTTAAAAATTTTCAATTTAATAATAACTTGAAATTTGGACTTTTGTAGGATTGAACCGAAAAATTCATGGAGCTCAAAAGGAGAAATACAACTACCTTGCTTCGATGGGGATGTAATAAGGTAATTTCAATCTGAAAGTATTTTTACATGTATATTTCCAACAAATGTACTAATTTATATTTTTTTTGTTTCCACAAATTACCAGATTGTTGTACATATTCCTCATTGGGGATACATAAAAATTGATACAAAGACTTTTTGGAAAGTAATGTGGAGAAAGTTTGGACAAAAGCATATTTGAAGACATGTTATTGACACATCTTTTGTAAAGCATACATATTTTTGGTGTATAACAATATAATTTTTGGTGTATGACATGTTAGTGACACATCTTTTATAAAGCATACATCTTTTGTAAAGCTTTAACCCACTTTTTGTAAAGCTTTAACCCACTCTTTTGGTGTATGACAATATAACTTTAATTTCTGTTTTTTGTTCAGTGTTTACACTTTTTTGATCGTATACAAATTTTGATTTGCAATATTGGTGAACACAATATAACTTTAAATCTTATATGTTTGTTTCTTAATTTGCATTAAGATTAGGGAGAGTTGTTATTTTATTTGAGTTTTGTAGAGCGTGTGATACAAGTAAAATTATCATAAGTTCTTCAAGAAGAAAAATATTTTAATATATTTTTTCAATATCTTTATCAAAAAATGACACAAATTTTATAAATTTCAACATAATACGTATAAATTATAATTACATTTTAATTTTAAAATTATTTACATCGTACCTTGCACGACCATTCGTGTTATTTCAAATATGCCAGAGAAGCTCGCTTTGAAAATCGTTCCAAACAGAGTCATTGTCCCTTTCCCTACCGCCATGAGTACTCTGCAACAGCACTGTCAGTCTATCTATTTCTCATTTCTCTACTACTCACTCTACTACCCCAGTATATTCTCTCCGAAGCTTTCTCCTCTATTACCACTATCGTCTCTCGTAAGCTACTATCACATTTTTCATTTCCCTCCCTCCCAAATTGTTTTTCACTTCCCTCCGCGCCAAAATCCCTCTCTCTCTCTCTCTCTCTCTCTCTCTCTCTCTATTTATATACATACAAATTGTTTATACAAAACTCTGATTTTTTCTCGTCAGAACCTCTTCTAACGATAATCGATTTCGCACCTGTGTATTTCGCTTCGTATAACTGTAGATTTTTTTATTTTTTATGTACAATCGATATGGTTCAACTGCGTAGCGGAGTGCGCCATGGCCAACTGCCGAAGAAGAAGGAACTTATTGCTCCGATCAAACCACCACCACCGACACGACAAGCGAAGAATAGGAAGAAAAAGGAGAAGGCAAGAATGGTACGGAAACCTCAGAGGCGAACTAGACAGAAGCAGAGGAAGGAGGAAGATGAGAATGATGGGAAGAATGTCGATAACTGCAATGTGAGCCCCCCGTTGAAGGAGGTCCAGGAGGAGGGTGATCAAAAAATCGTACGGAATCCTCGGAAGCGAACTAGACAGCAGCAGAGTAAGGATGAGGTGGAGGATGAGAATGTTGTTGTGAAGAAGGTGGATAACTGTAATGTGACTCCATTGAAGGTACAGGAGGGTAATGAAGCTGCTAGGGTTAGTGGCGGTGGTACTGAACAAGACGATTTCTTCGGTACTACTGACGAAGATGATTGCTTTGGTACTAGTGACGTAGATGATGAAGAAAACACAGATCCAGTTCCTGAATTGGTTAATTTCTCTCTCTCTCTCTCTCTCTCTCTCTCTCTCCATATGCATTGTATCCGCAGCGCCCACGTCTCATTTTGTGTTTATGTTCCAGCATTTCCATCTCTTCACTATTTTTTAAAAATTGGAGAGTCTATTATTATTGATTTTTTTTTTGAGAAAGTAATGATTGAGAGCCTACAAAAATTTCACCCGTACAACCCTTGTATCATTCTATGAGAGAGAGGATAAAAAAAAATAACTTGGACTAATTACACACATTTAGGTCATGGGATTTTTAAATTTGGGGTCTCAAGGTTTTTCCTTTTTTTTTTTTTTTGATGTGGCTTGGGTCTAACTGGACTGTTTGGTATGCCCCGTGGTTCTATTAAGGAGTCCGTATCCATAATTTAAATTATTTAATAATTTAAATTGTTTAATATGTAAGATTTGTCGGGTATTTTATTCTTGTATAAAATCATGTTGATAGTGGTATTTTAAGAAGTTGGTAAAAAGTTGATTTTTTAATTTTTTTAGTTTATTTGGTCTTTTTGTGGATAAAAAATGTGAGATGTGATATGATTCAAAATGGATAAAATACTTTTTACTGGGTTGCCAAAGCATCCCTAAATATCGATAGTCACTTGATCAGATCATATTTTTATATATTTCTGTCACCGTCTAGTATGATTTGAAAAAGTAAATTGTTAACAAAAATGTGATCTAATCAAATTGAAATCAATATTTGATCAATGTGATTTTTTTAAAAATAAAATACTCGATAAGTTCTACACGTTGAATGATTTAGGTCATTGATATGGCTCCGTGAGAGACTCGCGGAGGCTTAACAGTACAGTCCGGTTTTGTACCGGTGACAAGCCTTACCCATTTTTTTCTCCTTTAATTTGATTTCAAATTTGATTAAAGATTTGAGAAATACTATAATGCATATGCACCTTATAACTTAAAAAAATAGTATAATTTTAATTTTCGGAGTCATAACTAAAAAAAAGAAAAAAATTTTATAGCTAAACATAATTAAAAAAAAAATGTTATAACTAAACATAATTAAAAAACTTATGAGTCACGGCAAAAAAAAATATTGGTCATAAATAAAGTATAAAATGACATAATTAAGGTTTTGTTTGGGAACACGTTATTTTAAAAAAAATTTAACTAAAATATGTATTTTTGAAACTTTTTAATTTTTTATGAAAAGATGTGCAAAAAATAAAAAGAAAAAAAAATATTTAAATTTTTGGTATAGATTATAAATTTTTTGATTTTAGTAATTTTTTGACTTTTAAGTTAAAACAAACACTTGTAAAAATGGGCCTAGGAGTGTATATGATACACATATTTTAAAAGGATATATATTAAAATTTATTTGTTATGAATTATTTTAACTTTTTTATTAATTTTTTTTAAAAAAAATTCACCTTTTACCGAGCTAAGCTCATACCCAGGTTGGGTCGGGCCAATCCAATTGTGACTTGGGCTTAAGGTTTGAAGCTGGACATGCCTGTTGGCAGGCAACGTGAGATCCGGTCCGGCCCACAAGCCTAGTAGAAAATATGAAAAACCAAACTAAATATGAGTTATATTAGAGATTTTAAATAATTTATCAAATTTTTTACTAAAAAAAATGGGTTCTACTCATATGTGGTGGGTTTGTATGGGTCCTACACCCATGTGGGAGTTTTGATAGAAAATTTGGTAGATTATTTGAGATTTGTAACATTTTTCAAGAAATATAGGATTGAATCTCAAGTCTCGTTTGGAAATAAATAATTTTAGTAATTTTTTGACTTTTTACAAAAAAAAATGTGTAGAAAAGTAAAAAGAGTGTAGTGACTTTTTAGTTTTTTGGTTAAAACATGTAGGCCTTGTTTGGTTTGCTTTTAACAAAAAAATTTTGGAAAAATTTTTCAACATTTTGTTTGGTTTAATGATTCTAGAAAAAAAATTTTAAAATCACTTTCTCTTTCTCACACATTAATCAATCATTTTTTCTCTAACATACATCTATTCAATTACAACAAAGTATTAAATCATTTCCAACTCTCATACTCCAAAACTATTACCAAAATATAAAATCAAACAAACTAAAAAAATTTCTAAACTCTTTTCTGAAAATCTTTTTTGAAAATTTGTCTCTCAAAATCAAACCAAACACACCCGTTGTCGCCAAATGAGGCCTCAGTCCTTTGGACTGAACCAATAGGCAGGCCCATTGCCTTGTGAGGGGTGGCCCGTTAGCTCGGTGGGCAAGGCTTGGCCTAAGCTTTAGACTCACAGCCCAGCCCGACATGGCCCATCAAAGAAAGCCTGCTGGACTTAGCCCGTAGGCGGGTTTGGGCACCATTTTTGAGGACTAGCCCGGCCTAATACCAACCCTAAGCAACAAGGATGTTAGTACTTGGCACTTGTTAACTTGCGTTTAAGGTTGCAAATGAACCGAGCTGTTTATGAACAAGCTCGGCTCGATTCGTTTAGTAAATGAGCCGAGCTCGAACTCAAGCTCGCATAAGCTCGGCTTGTTTACCTTTATTTAAATTATATAATAAATATATTATTTATATATTATATAATATATAAATATATATAAATAATAATATAAATACATTATTTAAATATTAATATAAATACATTATTTAAATATTAAATAATATTTAAAAAAATTATCGAGCCGAGTGGAGTCTGACTTTTATCAATATTAACGAGCCGAACCAAGCCGAGCTCGAGCCTAGTTTCTTATCGAGTCGAGCTCGAGCTCAATAAACGAGCTCAATAAGTAAATGAGCTGAGCTCGAGCTCAACAATGCTCGGTTCGGCTCAGCTCGGCTTGGTTTGTTTGCAGCCCTACTTGCGTTAGAGGCTGGAAGTGCCATGATGGATAGTTGATTGATTCATTTATTTTCTCTTTTACCACAGGTTCAGGTTGGCGGTTCCCCAGCATACAAAGTTGAGAGGAAACTTGGAAAAGGAGGGTTTGGACAAGTATATGTCGGTCGCCGTATTAATCCTCCAAATCCAGATGAAAAAACTGGCCCGGGTGCTGTAGAGGTGATACATTTTTGTATACATGGTCGAACAAATTCATTATGATTGCTACCTGATTTTATCGTCTTGACTTGTTTTGTGATCTACTGAAATTCTTACTAGGTAGCCTTGAAATTTGAGCATTCAAGCAGCAAGGGATGTAATTATGGACCACCCTGTGAGTGGCAAGCTTACAAGTGAGTTTTTTTTGTGTGTGTGTGTGTGTGTGTGTGTGGCTGTTATGCAACATTCTTGTTCATTCTAATGGAATTATTTCAAAATTATTGGCTTATGTTTGGCTGGCTCTGGTATTTGCTCAGAGCACTTGGTGGCAGTCATGGTGTGCCACAAGTACATTACAAGGGCCAGCAAGGTGACTACTACATAATGGTGTGTGTCATGAACTTATGTGTAGCCTTTTTGATATCATGGCTTTTGTATTTCTAGCTCTTAATCAGTGTGCTTCTTTGGATAGAAAAATAGAAATAAAAAATTCACAATGATTGCAGGTGATGGATATGCTTGGGCCTTGTTTAAGGGATGTTTGGTATAATAAATTCCCCAGGTATGCATCACAAATTTGATTTCTAAAAAAGTATACATTTTATCATAGTTTTGGGGCTTCTTGATCCTATTGGCGTCGTCTAAAGTTTTCTTTGTTTTTTCCAGCATCAGCATGTCATCGATTGATATGGTTATTTGCATTGCCATTGAAGCAATCTCTATATTAGAGAAGATGCACTCCAGAGGGTGAGTCTTTTACTCCTATTACTTGTTAATTATGCTCTATATATATATTTGTTTCTTTAGTGTAAAGAGAGATTTTGTTCTGTATACATAATAGACATAGTTTTAGTTTTTTGGGCACAAGGATTTATGTTAATGTGCCAATCCGAATCATCCAACATGTGTAGAATCCAAAAGAAATTAGTATATGTCGTAGTATGGTTCTGTATATGACTGCTGCAACTTTATGCAGGTATGTACATGGGGATGTAAAGCCTGAAAACATTTTGCTTGGTCTACCAGGGACTCCCGACGAGAAAAAAGTGTTTATTGTTGACCTTGGATGTGGTAAACATTTGTTCTCTGCAATACAAATATTTGACACAGTACATTACCGAATTATGCTCAATATCTCGTCATTCTCAAATCTTAATTCACAATTTGAAGTGCAGCTAGCAGATGGCGTGATAGTTTGACTGGTCTACATGTTGATTATCATCAAGCACCTGATGATTTTAGGTAAATCTAGTATTTGAATATTTCTATGATCTTAAATTAGTTTCAATCTAATGGTTTCTAGTTTATGGAAAAGTCTACGGAACGAGAAAAAGTACCAAGAATTTTAAATATATGGTCATGTTGTGGACCACACGTTCAATGAATCTTGGACATAGATTTTAGGTTGTACCTTTTTGGACTTTTTTTCCTTCTTGGGTATGTTGTTGGCTCCATCCACTACCCACATGGTAATGGAACCACCATTCACATAGTGTGGGTAGCACCATGTTGTAAAAGACCATGGTGGAGGGTTGCACCAACCCACTAAAGGAAGATAGTGAGGGTGGCACTACCTTGGCCAATTATGGCTAGCACTTCACCTACTCCTCCTCTCTTGGTTATAAATTGAGATGAGTGAGGAGAGGTTTGTATTATCAGAAATTAGAGTGTAAGAGCTGTGAGTTGAGTGAGTTTTATCTCCTCCTCTGTATTTTGTATTTTGCTCCATTTTAGTGAAAATTCTCATTTCTGTCCGTGGATGTAGGCATTGGGCCGAACCACGTAAATATTGTGTTCTCTGTGTGTGTGAGATATTTTTCTGGGTGTGTTTGATCCTAACAAAGTGGTATCAGAGCCAAGTTGTACGTTTTTTCAGAAAAACAGAGGGTTGTTTCGAAACTGCCCAGAAATCGTATTGCTCGAAATCCGATTTTGAGCATACCAGGAGCAAGGACTCGACGAGAGGAGTCCAGAAATATAAAACAGACACCCAACGGAGGCCGCACGTGCTCCCACGCGCCCCTGGAAGTTGGCGCGTGAATCCCACTCTCATCACGCACCCACACGCGCCGTTCAGGCACCCGGCGCGTGATCCCACTCGCACCCACGCGCTCCACGCGCGGTTCAAGGAGGAAGACGACTGAGGGAACAGCGCGTGCTGTACACGCGCCATCAGCACGCGTACGCACCAAGCCGAGCCGGAGCCGAGTTGACCAAGCCGCTGACCAAGCCGCTGACGTCAGCAGAACCAGAGGAATAATCTGGTGCTTCGCAGGCGCACCAGATTCTGCCGATCTGAACCATTCAATCTGTTTTGGCTTGATCTAAGCCATTTGAGATCCGATTTGGGTGATCCAATAGTGGTTTCCGACTATTTGGAGTATTCCGGACACATCCGTACGGTCAGATTTTGAAAATAAGTTTTGAAAAAATTGAAGTTTTTATTTTGGCAATCCGAAGTGCTTTTTCGGCTAATTTGAGCAGCCCAAAAAGATATTATCTAAATTAATATGGGTAAACACAAAATCAATACCTCCCAACAGATGATCAATGAAGTACGGTGGAGGAGTAATGGATTCTCTAATGCTGTGTTTGGTTGGAGTTTTTGAGGTGGGATTTGGAAAAGGAATGAGAAATGTAATCCTATTTATGTTTGGTTATAATAAAAAATATATGGGAAAAGAAAGGGGGTGAGAAATAAATAAAGAAATAGGATACCTTTTAGGACATCAATTCTATTTTATAACCAACACAACCAAACATAGTTGGGATTTGGAATTCTATTAATTCTTTCTCTTTTTCCTTTCATTTTCATTTCCCTTTCCATTTCCCTTCCCAAATCCCCCAACCAAACACAGCGTAAGAAAATGGAGAGAACACGGAGGAGGACCAATGGTTACCCCCGGGGGAGCTTTCTCTCTCTAGATTCTAGAGAGAGAGGCTCTGCTTTCTTCCCCTATAACATTCGTAAATTCTTCTATTTATTGGACTTATTTTAAAATTTCAACTTAATTTCTGAGGTAAATAAATGCACAAAAAATGTGGATAGATTCATTAAACATTGGAAGTTGAGTAAACCAGAATGTGAAAGCATTGGATCGAACTATTTTATCGGCCCAGAGGGATGTAGATTGTGCTTCCCAAGTAAAATGAGCTCAGAATCAATGGACTATATAAGGATAGAAATCCACCTGATGGGAGTACTTTTCACCCTATGTATGCTTTGAAAATGAATAGCTGGTAAATTAAAGCTCAGCAGCAAAAGACCGAAAAGATTTAAAGATTTTTTATTGGTTTCTTTGATCAAGAGAAAAGAAGTTTCAACACTCAATTGAGAGATTGGCCAAGCAGATCATGCAGATAATAATAAAAGCTTTTTATATCATAGTTTTCAAATGATGAATGAATATAAATTAAAATAATGAATAATGGGAAAAACTAATATGATACCAGACAAGGTATAACTAAAATGAAAAAAAATAAATCGTTTCTCTTTTACTTATAAAAATTATTAGTTAAAGATAATCTGACTTTGTCAACAATCAACACTGTCCATGCCTAAGAGAGATTAAAGATCTAATAGTACTTGCTTCTGTTTCCTTTCCAAGGATTTGCACCTTAAGCACTCTCGCCCTGTTTGGCAACAGCCTCATTGTCTTTCAGCGAATTAGAACGACAAGTTTTATGCCTAACACAAAATTCCTGCATATTAAGAACAAAGAATAATATTGAATGAGCTGCAGTTAAAATAATAAGTTGGAACATGAAATTTGGGCTATTACATCACTGAGTAGCAAGTCACACGGCTCGAACATATGGATCACATCTCCCATCCTAGGCCTATTTTCGACATTCGGATCAACACATCTAAGAGCAATCAAAATGGTTCGTTTAAGTTCCTTCTGACGTTCATTGATGATGCATCACGGAAGGTATGGGTTTATGTCTTAAAGACCAAAGCTGAGGTGTTCCAGCATTTTCAGATATTCCATGCTATGGTGGAAAGGGAGACTGGAAAGTTTGCATTGTGACTCCGAACAGACAATGGAGGCGAGTACACGTCAAAGGAATTTAAAGCCTACTGTGCTACTCACGGCATCCGGCATGAGAAGACTGTTCCTGGAACCCCACAACACAATGGTATAGCCGAGAGAATGAACCGAACCATTGTGGAGAAGGTCAGATGTATGCTCAAAATGGCAAAGCTACCAAAGCCATTTTGGGGAGAAGCTGTTCGTGTTGCTTGCTATTTGATCAACAGATCGCCATCAGTTCCACTGAATTTTCAGATTCCAGAAGAAGTATGGTCTGGAAGGGAGATCTTTTACTCTCACTTGAGAGTGTTTGGGTGCAAAGCATTTGCACATGTATCCAAGGAGCACAGACAGAAGCTGGATGACAAAGCCACTCCATGCATCTTTATTGGCTATGGAGATGAAGAATTTGGATACAGATTGTGGGATCCGAAACACAAAAAGGTCATTCGAAGCCGAGATGTGGTGTTTCAAGAAGGCCAGACCTTTGAAGACTTTGGGCAACCAGCCAAACCCAAAGTTGATGATGTTTCAGAAATTATTCCAAACCCTGCACCATCACAGCATGCCACTGATGAAGAAGAGTTACCGCAGCATGCAGTCAATGATGTAGAGTTGCAGGATGGATTTCTAGAAGAAGAAAATCCAGAAGCAGAGGGTGTTGAGCAGGGGGAGCCACAACCCCCTCTACCAGAAACTGTTGGTCCACAGTTACGAAGATCAATAAGAGAATTTAAGCCGTCAACCAAATACCCTGCTTCTGAGTATATTTTGCTTACCGATGAGGGGGAGCCAGAAAGTTTTCAAGAAGCTCAAAATCATAAGGAGAAGAGTAGCAGGCAGCAAGCTATGGAAGAAGAGATGCAATCCTTGCAGAAGAATCAGACTTATGATTTGGTGAAACTTCCCCAGGGTCGAAAAGCATTGCAGAACAAATGGGTGTTCAAGTTGAAGAAAGATGGCAGCGGAAAGCTAGTCAAGTATAAGGCTCGATTGGTTGTCAAAGGTTTTGGGCAGAAGAAAGGTATTGATTTTGATGAAATCTTTTCGCCAGTTGTAAAAATGACATCCATTCGAGTAGTTTTGGGACTAGCAGCTAGTTTGAATTTGGAACTTGAACAAATGGATGTGAAGACAGCATTTCTCCATGGTGATCTGAAGGAAGAAATTTACATGGAGCAGCCAGAAGGTTTTGAAGTCAAAGGGAAAGAAAACTTAGTCTGCAGATTGAAGAAGAGTCTCTACGGCCTCAAACAAGCGCCGAGACAGTGGTACAAGAAGTTTGACTCATTCATGGTAGGTCGTGAGTACAAGAGAACTGCTGCAGACCAGTGTGTTTATGTCAGGACATTTCCCGGTGGAAACTTTATCATACTTCTGCTCTATGTTGATGACATGTTGATCGTTGGACAAGATGCCACAACAATCAGATCACTGAAGAAGGAGTTATTACAGTCCTTTGACATGAAGGACCTAAGCCCTGCACAGCAAATTTTGGGCATGAATATTGTGCGTGACAGGAAAGCCAAGAAGTTGTGGCTGTCACAGGAGAAGTACATTGAACGAGTGATTGAGAAGTTCAACATGAAAGATGCCAAGCCAGTCAGTACTCCGCTGGCTAATCATTTCAAGCTGAGCAAGAATTCTTGTCCCTCCTCTACGAAGGAAAGACAAGAGATGGAGGCGATTCCCTACTCATCCGCTGTAGGGAGTTTGATGTATGCAATGGTGTCCACCCGACCAGATATTGCTCATGCGGTTGGAGTTGTAAGCAGATTCCTTTCCAATCCAGGAAAAGAGCATTGGGAAGCAGTCAAGTGGATTCTGAGGTACCTCAAGGGTACAGCAAAAATGTGTTTGTGCTTTAGAGATGCTAAACCAGTCTTGGAAGGCTATACTGATTCCGATATGGCAGGCGATCTTGATGGTAGGAAATCTACATCAGGATTTCTGTTCACTTTCGCAGGGGGAGCTGTGTCTTGGCAGTCCAAGCTGCAGAAATGTGTTGCTTTATCCACAACAGAGGCAGAGTATATTGCTGCAGCGGAAGCTGGGAAAGAGATGTTGTGGTTGAAGCGGTTTCTCCAAGAGTTGGGATTAAAGCAAGAAAAGTTCACGGTACATTGTGATAGTCAGAGTGCCATAGACCTGAGCAAGAATTCGATGTACCATTCTCGCACAAAGCACATTGATGTTCGGTATCATTGGATACGCGAAGTGATGGACAAGCAGTTATTGGAACTGATCAAGATCCACACAGATAAGAATCCTTCTGACATGATGACCAAGGGTGTCACCAGAGACAAATTGGAAGTTTGCAAGCATCTGATCGGGATGGACTTCAAGTGAGAAGTCAGTTGTCCATGTGGGCGTGGAGGGGGAGAATTGTTGGCTCCATCCACTACTCACATGGTAATGGAACCACCATTCACATAGTGTGGGTAGCACCATGTTGTAAAAGACCATGGTGGAGGGCTGCACCAACCCACTAAAGGAAGATAGTGAGGGTGGCACTACCTTGGCCAATTATGGCTAGCACTTCACCTACTCCTCCTCTCTTGGTTATAAATTGAGATGAGTGAGGAGAGGTTTGTATTATCAGAAATTAGAGTGTAAGAGCTGTGAGTTGAGTGAGTTTCATCTCCTCCTCTGTATTTTGTATTTTGCTCTATTTTAATGAAAATTCTCATTTCTGTCCGTGGATGTAGGAATTGGGCCGAACCACGTAAATATTGTGTTCTCTGTGTGTGTGAGATATTTTTCTGGGTGTGTTTGATCCTAACATATGTAGCATTGTTGTTTTATTTAGGCTTGATCATTTTGGTGCTTCAGGGGAACAATTTGGTTTGCGAGTGTGCATGCGCATCTTGGAAGAACTATGAGCAGGAGAGATGATTTGGAATCTCTTGCTTACACACTTATTTTTCTTCTCCGTGGCCGGCTTCCTTGGCAAGGATATCAGGTTGGCATATCTAAACTTGGAACAGGGGTTGTTTTTGTCATTTTCATATTAATTCAACGCATTTGTTTAATTAGGGGGAGAACAAAAATTACCTTGTTTGTAAGAAGAAGATGGCAACTTCTCCAAAAGCCCTTTGTTCCGCTTGTCCTGAACCTTTTAGACGGTTTGTAGAGTATGTGGTGAACTTAAAGTTTGATGAAGAACCTAACTATGCCAAATATGTCTCCCTCTTTGATTGGTTACTCGGTCCAAATCCAGATCTCAGGCTTATTAGCACTGATGGTGCTACAAAGGTACTGTATGGCTCTTTCTTTCAACATTTTGTAGTTGCACAATTGTACTAAACTTTCACTTAAATTGACCTGGGAGTGTCTTTTAACTCATCTACATGTTGTATAGCTTCTACGGGAGTTTGACCATAAGAGAGGGCAATCAACAATTGAAGAGGAAAACAATGAACGGCCGAATAAGAAGGTACGAATGGGAGTGCCTGCAACACAATGGATTAGTGTTTACGATGATCGCTGGCCTATAAAGCAAAGGTTTGTATTTTGAATGTTACATATTAATTTCCTTCAAATTATAGCGAAAAGGTTAAAGGACTTGGCGGTCACATTGTGTTGTAGATATCTCTATAACATGACAGATGAAAGGCTTTCCCTTCACATTGAGAAAGGCAAAGGAGATGGATTATTTATCAGCAGTGTGGCATCGTCGTCAAATCTGTGGGCCTTAATCATGGATAATGGCACTGGCATCTATGCTCAAGTTTATGAGGTCTCACCTGATTTTCTTCACAAGGTTGCTTCTATGTGCTTTTTAACCTTCAACAATCTTTCACTACCATGCCATATGACATGTTAATGTGATGCATTTTTGCAAATTAATGCACTCTATGTACTTATGCTTTACAATTATCTTTCTTGAAGGAGTGGATAATGGAACAATGGGAGCATAAATATTATATTACCGCAGTAGCAGGAGCTAGTAACGGGAGCTCATTGGTGGTGATGTCCAAGGGTTAGTTCAACAAAATTTAAGCTCTCAAGTTTGGCAAAACTGATTTTTTTTGTCTTCAGTGAATTTTTTAAAATTGTGTCAAAATTTTATTTTTCAGGTTGTTTTAGTCTAGAATGATCTCAAAAGTAAAAAATGATTTTAAAAAATAAAAATAAATAAAAAGTTCACTAAAAGACAAAGTAGAAAAATCAAATTGTTTTAGCTTTTCTTTTTCGTCTTTAATGGACTTTTTTCAATTTTTTTTTATATTTTTATTTTTAGAGTCTTCTATTCTAGTACAATCTAAAAGTGAAAATTATCTTTAAGAGGGTTCAATTAAAGATGAAAAATATTTTTAAAAAAAGTTACTAAAAAAGTAATCATCTGTCAGTCAATAACCATTTTCTTTTAACTCAAAAATCTAGTTTTCAATTTTGTTACTTCAAAATTTAGGTCCCCTATATTCGCAGCAATCATATAAAGTCTCCAACTCATTTCCATTCAAATGGATTCGTAAAAAATGGCGTGAAGGGTTCGCTGTCACTGCCATGGCTACTGCAGGTAGTACATGGGCAATTGTCATGTCTCGAGGAACAGGCTTTTATAATCAGGTTCTATTGGAATTTTATTGGGACCTACGTTTAGTTAGAATACATCATTTTGCTGGCAAAGAACAATTTTTGTTTTTATTTTTATGGAGAATTTCTTTGTTTAATCGTAGGTTGTGGAACTTGATTTTCATTATCCTAGTGAAGGTCTTCATAAGAGATGGAATGCTGGTTTTCGCATCACATCAACCGCAGCAACTAGTAACCAGGCTGCTTTCGTTCTAAGCATGAAAAGAGGACAAGATGATGATCAAATACAGGAGACCCTTCGGACTACTGCTTTTCCTAGTACACATGTCAAGGTTGATTGTTCAAATCTATATCATTTTCACATCTGTTTGCTTTATTAAGAAGCTTGTTTTCATTAACCAGGTTGTTTGGGGCTGTTTTTTGCAGGAGAAATGGGCAAAAAATCTTTACATTTCATCGGTTTGCTATGGTCGGACTGTTTCATGACAGTTCCTTCCATATTTTGCTCTTTTGTGAAGCAAAGATGGCAGCCTTGTCTTTCGAAGCCATATTGAATCATTCATGTCATTTGGTATGCAAACCTTCACTTACCAACACCTGTGCAACTAGTTTAAATTATGTTGAGAGAAGCTTCTTAGCTAAGATCATTTTTTTTGGGTACCAAATGATGATATGGGGCTTGTTTTTCATTGTCAAAAGTTTGTACTACAGTTTTGAGAAGTAATTATTATTATGTGCATGGGTGATCAAAACATATAATTGAAGGTGTTTTGGAAAAATGTGATTATAGAATTTGGAATGAAACTTTTTCTTTTCTTTTTTCTTTTTACATGGGTGGAATGGTACTTGTGCATATCAAAATGTCAATCATAGCGTCCTGTTTATATTATTGATTGAACAATTGTTAAGCTTTTTCTCCGTCCCTCATCTCCCTGCTTGATACCCACTGCTTTTCTTCTTATTTTTTATTAATTTTTTTTTTTATAAATGGATTGGATTTAATAATTTTCTTATGATGCAACCTGATTGATTATTAATATGTAATATATATATATATATATATATATATATATATATATATATTTAATTAATTAATTTAGCTTTATTTTGTTTAAATAAAAAATGCATTAAAGATTAAAAATACAATTACTTAAGACTCTTATTAAAAAGAGCAGTGCGTTATATAATTTTATTTATTTTCACATTTCAAAACACAAGTGAATGGGTGTCATGCATATATCTCTCACTTCTGGATACCAAATAATGGGATTTATATTTATAAATGTATATGAGACTCATACACTTGTGTATAAGAAATAGAATTATATATAACATTTTCATATTAATAAAGTCATAATTGAAATTTAAATATAAAAACAAAACCCCTCAAGGTTGTAACTTAATAACAAATCAAATCATAATTTTTCAATTATTTCAATTAAAATTTTTAATTTTTTAAATGATATTAATTGTAACCATTTGTTTGTCTTTGTTGGTTATTACTAATAGGACGAGATAATTTAGATAATTTAATCTTTTTGTTGGTTGTAACCTAAATTAGCTTTTATCTGTTGAGCGAGAACTTTTAACTTAGCACTGTCGGATCACTAAAAATGAAAAATGTCCAAAATGTCCTACCTTGGAGTGTAGTTTTGATCTATTGATTTTACATAAGGAAAATTTACCCATAAGTCCTAGTTTTTGAAACGTTGAACCATTTAGTCCTAAAAGTTTTCTTATACTCCATTTAGTCCCATTTTTACATCAACATGATGTGAATGATGTAAATGATCTGATTCAATTAAAATTTTTAATTTTTTAAATGATATTAATTGTAACCATATGTTTGTCTTTGTTGGTTATAACTAATAGGAAGAGATAATTTAGATAATTTAATCTTTTTGTTGGTTGTAACCTAAATTAGCTTTTATCTGTTGAGTGACAACCTTTCACTTAGCACTGTCGGATCACTAAAAATGAAAAATGTCCTACCTTGGAGTGTAGTTTTGACCTATTGATTTTACATAATTGGAAGTAACTAATTAGGTTAAGGCACAGCAGAGGCCACGCACAGTAATAACTCCCTTGGGATTTATTGGTGCATCCCCTTTACATAATTGGAAGTAACTAATTAGGTTAAGGCACAGCAGAGGCCACGCACAGTAATAACTCCCTTCCCAGATAGTTCACTTATCGCGTGTATATTCCTGCAATAAAAATTATGTTATGTCATGTCATGTGTATATGAAAAATTCTTTATATTTAAATAACGATAAATTATGTTGGTAGTATATGAAATTTACATCTTATGTCAAGTTAATTCCTAACTTTCTAATTGTAACACATTTTTACCCCGCATCAAACAATACAACCACTATGTTCCAATCGCAGACCTCAGCATAATATGAAACAAACAAAATAAGTTTATAAACCTCTTCCAAACCTTTTATCAAATTGCTAATGGGCAAAGTTGCTAACGTTATGTTTGGTTAGGGATTTGAAAAAAAAAAAGGAAGAGAAAAATTGTATAAAATTAATATAAATATATTTTATTCATATTTTATCTTTTTTTTTTTCTTTTCTTTTTCAAATTTTTTAATCAAACACCGTGCAAATCTCCAATGAACATTTTGCTCCCAAATCTCTTCAATTTATGTGTAAAACAAAAAACAAAATATAAATATAACAGGAATGGGTGTTGGGTAAAAGGGGTGTTGTGTTTTTCTGTCCATGAAAAATAAAAAAAAAATATTTAATTAATTAACGATAGTGTATTCCATTGACTTAGGGGGCAAAATTTTGGAGAATAATGTTAGAAATTTAAAAAGTTTTATTAAAGTTTTTATCAAATGTCTTACATGGCTGTGGGACTTACGTAATGTGGGTCTCATGTGAGTTCCACACTCATGTGAGACATTTGATAGAACTTTTAATAGAATTTTTGAGATCTTTAGTATTTTTAAATTTTGGGAAGCTCTTTGGGAAGCTCTCCTCTCTGGTTTGGATGGAGTATTGATTTGGTGTAGTTGAGTGTGTTGGAACATCAAAATAAGTGACTATAATTGGTTGAAAAAAAAAAAGAAAAAGAAAAAAAAAAGAGGTGAATGAATTGATGTTGTTGCCCTTAAGACGTGGTCGTGTGTCAAACGTGATCAATTCTGTCAAAAAATGGAATAGTTGTTATTTATTGTCTTTAATTGACACAAATTTTAAAATACAAAGTCAAATATGGTGCAATTAGAAAAATCAAAATCAAATTGACCCAAATGGTAAATTTCAAAACTATCAGTGTAATTTGTCAGAATTTTTATATCACATGAGAAATCACATAACAGGTGATGACTTCCAATCAAATATTGTGGAGAATATATAACCATCCTCAATTATTAATTTTTAGTTTATATTACTTTTTTATGAGAAATTTGGTAGCAGTAAGAATGTAAAAATAATATTGTCAGTGTTTTTAAATTAAAATGTAAATTTTATTTTGTTTGTACTGATGATGCAGTTCGTCTTTGGTGGATGGGTCGAGCTGGTCCGAGCTCCTTAAGTTCCGATTCAAGCGAGTGATCCCACCAGATGACCTGCAAGCAAGTCCAAAGGGAACGGGGTAGTTCCCCAGTGAACCCTCCGGCGAGCGAATCAGTAAAGGAGGAAGGAAATATATATATATAGAGAGAGAGAGAGATAGAAAAGCTTAACCTTCCTCTTGTCTTCGATTTTTGCTTATATCCTTTGGTAATCATTTCACTGTCCCTTGTGACGTGCCCCCTTCCGCCGAAAGCCTGTGCCGTAGCTTACCTTGTTCAGGGTGAGGGGGCTCTGTTCCGACCGGGAGGTGTTGTCGTAATAAATGCTGTGATGGGCTGCATTAATGGTGATGTGTTGTGGCAATAACTCTGCAGATCTTTGTCTGCTGATGTGGCCTGTGTTTCACCTGCCATGTGCTCGAATGTCATTGGCCCTTCATGCCCAGATGGCCTCTAGCTGTCCTGGGCTTTGCCAATCGGATTATGCTATGGGTCACAAGCGATGGGTTTGGGGTTGTTTGCTGTGGGCTGTAAGCCTTATGGGCCTATCCATGTCAGTAGTCCCCCATTTTCGAGTGCAGCTTTAGTCCAACGAAGGGAATAGTAATAAGGAAGAGAAGTGCGGACCGAGTGGAGAGGCCGACCGTCAGGCGTGCCGACCGCAAGGGTGGCCGAGCGGGAGGGGTCGACCGTTAGGCGTGCCGACCGCAAGGGTGGCTGAGCGGGAGGGGTCAACCGTTAGGCGTGCGGACCGCAAGGGTGGTCGAGCGAGAGGGGTCGACCGTTATACGTGCCGATCGCCAAGGTGGCCGAGCTGTAAGGGTCGACCGTTAGGCGTGCCGACCGCAAGGGTGGCCGAGCAGGAGGGGTCGACCGTTAGACGTGCCGACCAGGACGGCGCGGGGCTCAAAAAGGGGGGGCATGCCATGTGATGATGTGAAATGGAAAGGATAGAGTAAGGGGAGATGACAATGCATCGTGGCCATACACGTGGCAATATCATGGGGGAAGTGAAACGTTGGAGCAGAAATGAAACGATAGGTCACGATGGTGGGTTTTGAAAAGGCGGTTTTGGCGGTTGATTTGAAAGGTTTTTAAACTGGCGAAAATTAATGCGGATCCATGGAATACTGGTAAACCGTGGGTTTTTGGTATAATTTGTTTCACCTACCTTTTGACAAAAACTCAAGATACCCAAGTGTTAATTCCTTCATTGCGTTCGACACACCTGTGCAACACTTTCTTAACTTCCTTGCTCCTGCGACAAAATTGATTCGTAAGCAAACCCTAAAAATGGCACAAGAAGAAGTGGTGAATGTGAGGGTGGACCCACTGGGAGACGATAATGCAGAGGAGCTAGCAGCGCGATATAGGACGGAGACACGGATGGTGGGGGTGGGGGAATCGGCGGGGCAATCGCAGGCGTCGGCCCTGATAGTGGCCCCAAGGCCAATAAGCCAGGTAGAGCCGGATCATTGGCACACTAAGGCTGACAAGTCTACAATTACTGCGGCGGATTTGGAGGCTATCAGGGAAAAATACCAGATTCCGGCTGAGGTGGAGTTATTGCTGCCAACGTCAAGGGAAAGGCCGTCTGATGCCAGGCCAGGGGAGTTTTCCCTTTACGAGGAGGCGCTAAAAGGTGGGCTGAGGTTGCCACTGCCCCAAGTGGTGGTTGACGTACTGAACCGTCTGGAGGTGGCGCCGGGGCAATTGATGCCCAATACATGGAAGATTCTGCTGGCTTGCGCTAGCGCGTGGCCCAAGGCGAATGGAGGGAAAGCCATGGCGGTGGACAAGTTCTTTTCCTATTATAAGGCGTCGGGGCAGCAAGAGACGTGGGCCACGCTACAGGCAGTAATGGGGAGGGGATTGGTGGCGAGGCTGCCGACATCGATCAAGGGGTGGCGTCCACGGTGGTTCTACGTGTCTGTCAGTGGGGGACTGGAAGTGCGCACCATCTGGAAGGTGCCCGTTAGGTCGATGGAGCCAAGACTGGGGGCAGCGATGGAAGTGAGGGTGAAGAGGGTGAAGGAGTGGAGGGAGAGAGAGAAGGCCATATGGGATGAGCTTGTTCAGCCGTCCGCATTGTTTGAGGCAGGGTTGGGACCATAGCCGAGGGGTGGGGACCTCGACCGAGCAGAATTGGAGGCGAGAAGAGAAGTTCAGGAAGCAGAGGATCAGGCCATACTTGCCAAAGCCACGAAG